AGAAAGAGCTATAACTACCTCGCGTCAACACAATAATTAACCGACACTGCGCAGCAGTTGAACTGCAGAAGTTTAACAATAACCTCAACAGATCACCTGTGCAATCTACCCACCTGATCGTCACTGCTAGCAACGAAGCACAACAAGGAACTAATATTACCTGTTTATTAGTTTGTACATGTAGATCCCAAGTCACAACCAGGAATTCATCTGTTTATTCGGGAGAACAGAGGAACAATAACTTGGTCCACAGCAATAAGACATTTTTAGGTGTGTTTCTTTTGACAAACAGAAGTGTTGAGTAGTTGAATTGGCGTCTTCATAACTCATCTCCGTTAACGTCCAGGTAAGTTATAATGTATTCGGGTGAGGTAAGTTAGAGCGGGGTTAATTGTGTAATATGTATGAGACAGTCCAGAGAAGGTGCGGGGTGTGGTAGGTTGCAGGGCGAGTGTCGGATAGGGTTATAAACTAGTTTATTTTTACAACTGGTGGCCCAGAACAGTTGTGTAGTGATGTATAAGAGGGTGGAATGCAGGTGTAACTTTTTACCCAATTTACGTGTGTATTTAATTACGGAAAACGTATGTCTCATTACCTAGATGTGTTTATTTTCATAAAGTACAGTATTGGTTTGCCTTATTACCAAATGCGTATGTATGTTAACCTACAGTACAGGTATATTCTATCACCGAACATTTAAAAAAAAAAACTAAAAAAAGAATTACGGTGATGAGAGCCGGAAACTGTACAATATACCGGAGAGAGGAGAAATCAAGACCCGTCAAATCCGGCATTTCGTTTCTCTCACAAATAATTTACAACTTGAGGAGTGTATAGATATTTATTGTGTGTAAATGTGTGTTTTTTCTGTGTGATGTTTGATATGATGTGTACGGATGTTTGTTATGGTGTGTATGGATGTTTGTTATTGTGTGTATGGATGTTTGTTATTGTGTGTATGAATGTTTGTTATTGTGTATATGGGTGTTTGTTATTGAGTGTATGGATGTTTGTTATTGTGTGTATGGATGTTTCTTTTTGTGTGTATGGATGTTTGTTATTGTGTTTATGGATGTTTGCTATTGTGTGTATGGATGTATGTTATGGTGTATATTGATGTTTGTTATTGGTGTATATGGTTGTTTGTTATTGTGTGTATGGATGTTTGTTATGGTGTATGGATGTCTGATATGGTGAGTATGGATGCTTGTTATGGTGTGTATGTGTTTGTTATGGATGTTTTGTTATGTATGTATGGATGTGTGTGTGTATGGATGTTTGTTATTGTGTGTATGGATGTTTCTTTTTGTGTGTATGGATGTTTGTTATTGTGTGTATGGATGTTTGTTATTGTGTGTATGGATGTTTGTTATGGTGTGTGGCCATGGTGTGTATGGATGTTTGTTATGTGTGTGTGGATGTTTGTTATGTGTATGTGATGTTTGTTATGTGTGTGTTTGTTATGGTGTGTTTGGTTGTTTGTTATTGTGTGTATGGATGTTTGTTTTTGTGTGTATGGATGTTTGTTATTGTGTGTATGGTGTGTATGTGTTTGTTATTGTGTGTATGTGTATGTGTTTGTTATGGTGTGTATGTGATGTGTTGTTATTGTGTGTATGGTGTGTATGGATGTTTGTTATGGTGTGTATGAATGTTTGTTATGGGTGTGTATGTATGTTTGTTATGGTGTGTATGAATGTTTGTTATGGGTGTGTATGTATGTTTGTTATGGTGTGTATGGATGTTTGCTATGGTGTGTGTATGGATGTTTGTTATGGTGTGTATGGATGTTTGTTATGGTGTGTATGGATGTTTGTTATGGTGTGTATGGATGTTTGTTATGGTGTGTATGGATGTTTGTTATTGTGTGTATGGATGTTTGTTATTGTGTGTATGGATGTTTGTTATGGTGTGTATGGATGTTTGTTATGGTGTGTATGGATGTTTGTTATTGTGTGTATGGATGTTTGTTATGGTGTATATGGATGTTTTGATGGTGTGTATTAATGTTTGTTATGGTGTGTATTAATGTTTGCTATTGTGTATATGGATGTTTTTTATGGTGTGTATGGATGTTTGTTATGGTGTGTATGGATGTTTGTTATGATGTGTACTGATGTATGTTATTGTGTGTATGGATGTTTGTTATGGTGTGTATGGATGTTTGTTATGGTGTGTATGGATGTTTGTTATGATGTGTATGGATGTTTGTTATTGTGTGTATGGATGTTTGTTTTTGTGTGTATGGATGTTTGTTATTGTGTGTATGGGTGTTTGTTTTTGTGTGTATGGATGTTTGTTTTTGTGTGTATGGGTGTTACTTTTTGTGTGTATGGATGTTTGTTTTTGTGTGTATGGATGTTTGTTATTGTGTGTATGGATGTTTGTTATTGTGTGTATGGATGTTTGTTATTGTGTGTATGGATGTTTGTTATGGTGTGTATGGATGTTTGTTATTGTGTGTATGGATGTTTGTTATTGTGTGTATGGATGTTTGTTATTGTGTATATGGATGTTTGTTATTGTGTGTATGGATGTTTGTTATTGTGTGTATGGATGTTTGTTATGGTGTGTATGGGTGTTTGTTATGGTGTGTATGGATGTTTGTAATTGTGTATATGAATGTTTGTTATGGTGTGTATGGATGTTTGTTGTGAGTATAGATTATCTTTGTAGTGTTTGTATTTGATGCTTTCCATGTATGTGTGTTAATTTAGGTAAACAGAAGTGTTGAGTAGCAGAGTTAGCTTCCTCATACCTCACCACCGTAAACATCCAGGTATATTCGGGTGAGGCAAGGTAGGGTGGGGTTGTGTGTGTAAGATGTAAGTGATACAACAGACGGTTCTAAGAGGGTGTGGATTGAGGTCGGAAGGCCTAAGGTAATAAAAGAATTGAAATTAAATTGAGGTAGGGTGAAGGGAGAGTGTTGGATAGGGTTTTGAAGTAATATGTCTTACAACAGGTGACCTAGAACAGTTGTGTACTGAGGTATAGTGAGGTGGAAAGCAATTTTTTTTATTGAATACGAGCGTATATTCATTTATAGCGCATGTATGTCTTCTTACCTCATACACATGTGTTCTTACTACAGTACAGGTGTGTCTAATTATTAATTACACACATACCTATCTATATTTACCTATAAAGACACAAATATAACAGCCGTTGTGGTAGGAGGAAATATTACTTAGGAAGTTGTTGTTGATATTTTTATTCAGTTTACAATACATTATTTAACACAAAAAGTACTTTACATCACAATGTGTGATTTATCCCTTGTCAACTGCCCACGAAAATGACTACAGTAAGATTTTAGCTGAGAAGTCAACTACCTAGCATTTTTATGTTGGTTTTTAGTTTCTTTAAAATCGGGTGACAGTTATGGTAAAAAAATTAGAATTTTGGACTCAAGATTCATGACTTACATGGTTATTTACAAATGCCTGCAGATACTTGTTCGATATTTTGATCCTTGGTCTGTAGATTAACCAGGTAATTTGAAAGCAATTTAAAACGTGTTACCTGTAAATTTAATCATAGTTCAATTGTATTTTTTTCTTTCATCTTAGATCATGTTAAATAAATAGATAAAAAGTTGTTAGAGACAGCTAAAGAGCATTGATATGACAAGAAAACGTGTCAAAGATTTTGAGACAGAATCAGTATCAATTTGTTTCGCTGCGTTATCTTCCGGACATAGAATATATAAGATTACTGCCATCAGATTCATGCACCGTGTCCTGGGTAATTCAGAATTGATCTAAAATAGACTTTCTACCCCCAGTACATATACATGTCAGTTTAAATATTTTAGTGTATGGGATGGTAGCGCTTGAGCACATACATGTTATTGATACAAAACGGCAATATATATTTTAGATAGAAAAAGCTGGCAGTAGCTGAGGTAGGGGATGGGCCAATACAGGGAGGTATACATTAATCTGTTTCTAGAAAACTGTCCTGAGTTTATTCCTGTATTTTCGTGTATGGGCATTTTACTCAACATTTATTCTCATATATTTCATTTCTTCACCTCCCGTTCCCTCCCATAGTTTTTGCGCATCTTTCTTTCTTTTTTACTCTTTATTTTCAACAACAACACATTTTAGGAAGGTCTTGTATATGTGTGAATTAATTAACGTTAAACCATCAAGCAAGTCAGAAATTATTCTGCTATACTGTAATGGATATAAGAAGAAAATATTTTCTTCTCGAAGAAGCAAGACTGTTTATTGTAAAAGTATAAAAGCTTTAAAAAAACAAAACAAATAATTTTTTACCAAAGAATGCAGTAAGAAATAGGTCGTGATATTATCAGAGTTACTTCCCCTACATCAAGTTAAAGACTTTCAAGCGTTTCGACGACGGTGACGGGAAAGTCTGTGCAGACGACAGCGGAATGGAAGATGAAGATTCCAGGCAAAAAGGCGCGATTGATATTGAAGATGCGAATTGGAATTACTCCTTTTTAAAATCGTTTATAAATGATGACGTCGAGAAAGAAATCAGGTAAAACTACGGACATGGTTTTCTGTAGTCCGTGGTTTAATAGTTAAGCCAGAGTTCCCCTTGAATGAGAATGTTCTTCGTGACACTCATGACGACATTGTTAGTTCTGTACCTTCATTTTCAAAATGCAAATATATGGGAGAGGTAATGGCTTAACTGATCGGAGAATAAAAGTGATTTTACGTTCCTGATGTCAGTCCACACAGGAGTCTGACAGATTATGTTCTGTCAATAAAACCTCAAAAGCTTGGAAAGGTTTATAGTCGCTTAAAATGGCTGAAATGTAAGAGTGAAATAAGGCACAGACAAAGCGAATAAGTAGAAGTAACTCCACGTTGATGAAACCTTATTGTTGTATTAAGTCATTGATTTTTTTAGTATATGAGATTTTCATTACTGTGTTTTCACCTCGCGGATAATTGGCAATATTCTGCTGACATGTGTTCTGTTATAGTTATACACTTCATAGGAAAGCAGTGCTCCAGATAGCCTGCGTGAATGCGTTTTCACGCACAATATTTCTAATTTCACGCTAGGAAAAAAATAAGATTTGCGTCATTAACCCGTGCGAAATCCGGACTCTGCGTCAATGTCCGGCTCCAATATTACGTAGTTAGAAAACTCAATAATCTAAGTCAAACAGACACTTATCAAGTAAACGAAACTCGTAACAAGCGCTTTCTTGATCGTGATTATAAACCAGTCGCATAGCAAATATGGCGCTGTCAAAAATGTTTACAAATTCAGTGTTACCCTAATATGGAAAAACCCATACACTTGATGAAGGCAGGGGTGAAAAAACCCCTCAATTTATAAAGGTAGGAGTGAAAACCCCACATGTCAAAAAGTTATCTGGAGCACTGGGAAAGCATATTGTAAATCGTTCATCTGGTACCAGATTATTTGCATTTAGTCAAAATATTTCATTCTAAATCGACAGGTATCTTGCTAAGTATATTTTAGTTCGAACAATGATATTTTTACCCATATATATATCTGGTGATATAAGGGAGGTAACTCTAACAGAAAACTTTTTTCTCACCTTGCAGTGTTGTGGCAATTAAGATTCTACATCCAGATTAACTATTATTTACCTCCTTATTACAAAATGTTATTAGAAACTAAAACCTTCAGTTTCAGATAATCAATTTTGATTTATCTATCTATATATATATATATATATATATATATACCATGTGTACCATATGTGTTTCATCATGGTTTCTCCCCTGATCTTGTTCTATAAAAAAACAGGAAGTTAGGAGCACAAGTCCTATATCTCTTAAGCCTCATCAATTGAGAATGTTCTTTAAGTCGAGCAGATAAGTATAGCTGTAGATGATTGAGATGCTTTCTTAGCATTATAAAACAAGCTGTGTTCTTGTTGTGTATGGGGTTGGAAACTGCTTGAAGAAGGGATTATTGTTGAAGTCGAGAGTACAAGTCACTTAACTAGCTCCAGCTAGTGAGAATTTCCCTTTTAGCCGAACAGTAGAGTGACCATATATGACCACAGGGTCATTAGTTTAAACCTTGGCAGGGGCAAGGTGTTTTTTTATTACTCCCTCCTTTAAGAATTTCAACAGTCACTTGATCAATTTGTAAAATTTCCAAGGGCCTGATCGAGCAAACTCTAAACTCCTCTGGAATACTGCTTTAGATTTTTGAATCATCAAAATATAAAGAAATCACATAAGGGAAGGGAGGTAACTGTTCAATCTCTGATTTTAAGTCCCAAATTCTTCTTTTTTAAGAGCACCTGAATAAGTGAGTTGCATCACATATATATGGTATATAGAACATAAAACAAAGACAATGTTACAAACTGTGAATAAGAATGATGATATAAAGTATCCCAATGATCCATTCAGCTGATGGATGACGAGGGCCTTTATATGGAGCAAAAATAATAATGATAAAAAATCCAAAGGCAGTGCTTGAAAGATGGTGAATAAAACATCAACCCAAAAGCCAAGTTCAGTGTGGTGAACATATTCAAATTGTTGTTTAATATAAAAGGCAAATTCCCAGGGTTATCTATTTTGACGCCCTTTTTTCAAACAGATTTCAATGAAATTTTACAAAAACCTTCCATAACTTAACAAAATTGTAAATGATATGGTCCCCAACCCCAAAGGGGCCTGCAGGGTAGGGCCAAAAAGGGGTCTTAAAAACTTAAAAAAAAGATCTTTTCAAATCCCATTTATGGATGGAAAGGCTTTCAGATGCTTTACCAAAAGTGTGAATTTCATGGCCCTAGGGTCTCACATTTTCCCTTGGAGAGAAGTAAACTTTACTATAGTTTATATTTGAATATAACATTATTTATTTTGCTATTGGAAATAGTTCAAATCTTCTTAGAATTATTAGTTCAATATTTTGCAATTTTGAGTAATAATAATGAATAATATCCTAAAAACAGACATTGGCTTTCAGGCCCAAAACAAACTCTAAAAGAGAATAAACATCATAAACTGTATGTGATCATTTTATATTGTTGCCTTTTGTTCATTTTAGCCTTTTAATCTCTCAGTTTTCAAGCAGTCTTTTTAAAACTTGGTATCCTTTAATTTATTACTTAACGTACATGTAGCACTGCATAGTTACCATCTTGGTATTTTGGCTCCATAATGCAAATTCTATTTATATAAAATATTAAAAAAAAAAAACCACTAAGTCATTGACATCAGCACACCTGACCAAAGGAACAGTACTGTAATAGCTTTTTTCAGCACACCTGCTTGGTCATAATATAAATTTTCAGAAACCATTTATTTAAATTTTCTACTTTTACATGAAACAGTCCTAGTCTCCTTGTTGCCCACTACTTTGACTTTGAGAAATGTAATCCACATGAAAATGTTAGTTTCAGGGTTGTCTATTTCATGATACCTCAAGAGTACAAATGTACTTTAACAGAGATGTAGGCTTCATTGGACCAACATAGTTTAAGCTGGAGGCTCATTCTGGAATGGCTTTAAAAATACACGATGTTGATATATATACAGTGTGTGCAAGTTCTACTGCTCAAATGTGTTCATCTGTTGTCCAGCATTAAAGCCACATTTTCTAAATGGATAATAATATTACATTGTAAGATTCAGGAACTCCACTAGACCCCAGATTGGTTTGACTATTATATCAGTATATATTTTTTGTAACTATACATTGGTTGATAACAGTAATTTTCCATATTGAGTGGTAACTTGGTTTGACTATTATATCAGTATATATTTTTTTTAACTGTACATATATAATTTTCCATATTGTATATATTATATCAGTATTTGTAGTTGTATATTGGTTGATAACTAATTTTCTATCTTGAGTGGTAACGTAGAGGTTTCCAGTGGTTGATATTTGATCACATTTTTTCAGTTACATAATATTCCAATCATAACAAAAAACCAAACAAATTCTGATTCAATTAGTCTGAGGCTAAACTATATAGTGCCTGTACAACATCAGGCAATCATAACATTTTCATTTGTCTCCTATGTAGAATTGTATAAGTTTTTCTTATCTTTTCAATCTAGGTTAAAGATGGTGGTGTTTTGAGGCAATTATTGAAGAAACAGAAAACACTTGTCAAGTTGAAAGTTTGGACATAACATTTGGTAAGTGGATGTGTTAAATGGATTGATCTGTGAGATACAAGGTATGTCTGTCTTCAAGTGAATAATCAAGGGAAGTAACTCTTATAGAAACATAAAAAAATGATTTCACTTCATTCATGAAATATTTTGTGTACCATATATTATTAGCAAATAGGTCTTACAGTGGCAAGTTAAATGCTGTTGTTCTAGTGACTAGAACAAATAATTATGTCTTGTTCTGAGGACTGGAATAAACACTTGTGTCCTGTTCTGTGAACTGTGTCCTATGTTGAGGTAAAACAAACACTTTTATGTATGTCCTATTCTGATTGTTAGGTACAAATCACTTGTACTGACATTGGTATTTACATCTGCACTCAAAGGCTGTAATTATTTGATGATGAACATGTGTTTCAGAATGGTTACAGATATTTTTTTTTCCTATTTTCAGAATTTTAAGCAACATTTAAAGGTGGCATTTGTGTTCAGCTGAAGGTAAATATAAAAAGGTGAGTTTTGAAAGTAATTAATTTTGGGAATGTGTTTGAGAAATATCGCCTACACTACATGTAACAAAAACTTTATATTTTGAATATAAGGTTCACCTTGGTAAGGAAATGTGTCCCGTATGTAGGTTACTGTGACCTACATTTAGACCTTTGATCTACATTTAAGAAAAAAGTTTATCCAACTTGATTTGGTGAGAGATACTTATTCACAAAATTGTCTTATCATAACTGCTTTATGAGGTTACAACAATGCAATCAGGAATAAGTTGTAAAATGTACCAGAATATACATATATCAGTAACATTAATGTCACAAAAACTCACTGACATTCTTTGTTCACTTTTCATCAGCACACCATCATTAGATGGTGATTTATTTAGAATGCCCTACATCTGTGGTCTGTCGTCCATCCATTGTCTGTCAATCGTCTGTGAACAGGTCTTGATATCACTATTTCTTGAGAAGTACTGGATTGATATTTTTCATGTAGGTTTCTCTTAGTCCCTAGTTGTGCCCTTTTGTCTTTTGATTTTGGGTTTGATAAGAAGAAACAAAATGGCTATTAACAGATGCAGCCATCTTGCATTTTGACAATGAAAGTTTGTTATTATAATTTCTTGAGAATTACTTAACAGATCTTTCTCAAATTTCATATGTAGGTTCCCGTTTTATCCCAAATTTTGCTCCTTTAGTAATTGAACTGATTAGAGAAATAAATGTGTTTAGGTCATCTTAGACAAAGTCTCCAGGTGATCTATTGCAATCACCTTCATCCAGTGTTGTGCGTCCGTAAACAATCATTTTCAACTTCTTCTCAAAAACTCCTGATGTGATTTCAATGAAAATTTGCGGAAACCTCCCCTGGCCTTACATAAACCTAAAGTGTGAATTATACAGTCCCCACCCAACAGAGGCCTGAGGGGTGGGCCAGAATTGGTCAAATAGACTCAGATTTCAAAAATCTTCTTAAGACCCAAATACATCTCAAGGTGCTTTATCGTTAGTCTCATGACCCCAGGGTCTCCCATTTCTCTGTATGGAGGAGGTAAAATTTACTAACGTTTATACAGGAGAAACAAGATTTTTAAGAATGATTTGTTTGATTTCATTTGGAAATGGGGTCAAAAAAAATTTTCTCAGCACCCAGATTATGGTAGAATAAAATGGTCTGTATGAATGGAAGCATGGAAAATGCTTTAATAACCAAAATGGGTCACACATTTCTTCCTGGGGAAGTTTTTTTTAAACTTTACTGTAATTTTCATAGAAAAATTGCATTTTTGAGATAACGTTGGTGTATTTCCCACTAGAAATAACTTGGTAAGGATTATTACTATAAGGTGACAGTTTTGATGATATGCATATATTGGCACTGACTTACTGTATTCAGTGTCACAATTTCTGTTTCATGACACTTGATAACTACCCTTTAACCTTTTTTATTCAATATTGCTTATCTCAGGTGATTGTCAAGGCCACTAGGCCTTTGTTAAAATAACTTTTAAACTAAAAGCAATTTTAAAAAGAGTCAAGAAGAGAAAAGAAAGGAACAATCCAACTTTTGAATAACAGATTAATATCAAACAATGGTGAGTACCAATATCTCTCTGGGGTGTTTTGTTGTTTTGTGAGAGTGTTAGTTTCTTGTTATTTCAATATCTGTAAATTTATATAACTAGTAATTTTTGTTCTTTCAGATTTCTCAGATCTTCATCATGGCAACACCCATCAGCCAAACCGCTTTCCGTCCTAAAGGCCAGTCCACCTGTAGTGACCACAAAGGGAGGCGCTTGGATCTTTACTGTGAGAAATGTGATCAACTCATTTGCCATGCATGTTTGTCAACAACTCACAGAAGTCACCCTCTTTGTGAACTCAGTGAAATTACTCCTCAAAAGAAACAAGAAATTACAAACTTTATCAACAAAACAGAACAAAATGACCTGGTAGAAGTCAGGGAATATATAACTTCTGCTGATTCATTACTCAAAGACAATACCAGTCATTTTGAGAAACTTTCACAGCAACTAAAAAATCAAACAGATCAACTAAAACATGAACTTGATCTATTTACAGCACAGACACTCTCAGTGTATAAACAGATGGAAGAGGACAACACCAGGATGATACAGAAATACAAACAAGAACTGGAGATGTACAACAGACAGCTGAAACAACAACTACAGGAATGTAAGGTGACTCTACAACGTGGTTCTCACCTGGACATCTATGACACAGATATACATTCCTCATTACATCTCCCTGTCAAACCTGTCCTGGGTACGGTCATCTTCACACCTAACACAAATCCACAACATCTTCTACAACAGGCCGTAGGGACGATTATCACCTCAGGTCAAACAACTGACCAGGATCGGTCAATCTCAGTATCACATGACCAGGGACAATCCTCTAAACAACAACAAACAGGAGTAAAAGGGAAGAAAGCAGTGATAAGTAAAGCACTACTGTCAGAGACCAAAGTGGTGAAGGAGTGGAAGTCTCCATGTGACATTTGGTCTATATGTCCCACCACTGATGGTCAGGTGTGGACCAGTGATTACAGTGATACATTAACTCTCCTTAACAGGGAGGGTGAAGTAGTACAGAAGGTCACACACACGACTAACATCACTGACATCAGTCTATCACCCACAACACACACACTGTGGGTCTGTGACGAGGAAAACAACATCATGGAGCTGGTATCAGGACGACTTACAAACAAATTCAGAACCAAGAAGAGACCCCAGTGTATATGTGTTACAGCCAGTAACCACATCATTGTGGGGATGAAGAAACACATCTGTAAATTTACTACACAAGGTCAAATGGTACTCACTACAATGGCTGTAGGGACTGGGAAACCATTAGTGTATACACCATGCAGGATGTCAGAGTGTCCAGTAACTCACAATGTCACAGTGATTGATTTCAGCAGTAAAAGTGACGGTGGTGATGGAAAGGTACGTGTTGTTGTCATGGATACTGACTTCCAGGAAGTGTTTGTATATAGAGGTGACATCCCCAGTACATATAAACAAACACCACAAACAGGACGTGTAACATTTGACCCAAGGGGTGTGGTGTATGACAGTGTGGGGAACCTCATCATAGGGGACAATGACAACCGTAGGGTCCTACTCCTCAGTGGAGGTGGTGAGTTCCTCAGGATCATATACACAGACAGAGTGGTGACAGAGGCTGTAGGTATAGACAGGGAGGATGTTCTGTGGGTAGTGTTTGGGGGTAGCAATGTAAAACTACTACAGTACAGTGTGTAACAGTACTACTACAGTACAGTGTGTAACAGTACTACTACAGTACAGTGTGTGACAGTACTACTACAGTACAGTGTGTTGACACTACTACTACAGACAGAACTAGACAGATATATGTTATTCTAGTGAGTTACCCTGGTAACAAACTTTGTAAATAATATTTACATGTGACAAGAACAATACTGTTTAAATGAATGATGCTCGTCAGCAAAATGTATTGGTGTCACCACCCACATCGTTCCCTTTGTAAACTACATCTGTGTGTAAAATCAGTATAAAATTCACTTTAATGTGTTAAAACTTTGTCTTCCTTTTTTTCTTTCTGATTGCAGTTAAAATCAGTATAAAGTTATGTTGTGTATTTAGAGGTGACCAATGTCTTATAATGTACATGTATACTGTATCCCTATCTGTGTATAGTGTGTTTTGTATATTTGTCATTATATCAGCAATAAAATACTTTGAAATTATATTGGTGTTTTAATTTTATTGTTGATGTTTTTCTGTTATAAATTTGTAAAAAAAAAATCCGGAATGTGATTTAAAAGGATGTCAGAGTACTCCGGGCTCCTATTTAACAAAGTGTCTGGATACTTAAGGGTCTGACAATACAGGATACTTGAATGCTCACGTATTTACGCAAATTTGACGATCGAGGAGATGAGATCATCTGTCGGTCTGGTGTACATGCCCCATATTTTCTATGTGTGTCACAAATACCATTTCGGGGATTCTTTTTAAAAGCAAGGATTCACAAAATTTGACAGAATTTCGCCAATTATCGTTGATCGTTTTTCTGACGGGTTACAATGTATCAAAAGTGTTTTGGGATCTCGCATGAAATATGAATACGTAAAAAAAACATTGATATATTTTAAAAATATGTGTGTAAGATGTGAGATACCAGGTTGTTTGAAAATATTATTACTTTTTCATTGCCTGTATCATATTGATGTGACACAATATCAAAATACCAATAGTTTATACGACAAATTCCCGTGGTTCCCTGGTGTCACGTGTTATCATAATACCGCTAGACCGCTCCATGTGTTTGCCCGGTCTACATATCGTACCTCTAATTGTCTGTCCCTGTGTTTCCCCGGTGACGTATATCATAATAGCATTAGATTTCTCCACCCAAAAATCCCTATGCTTCGCCGGTATGGCGTAATATCATGATACCAATAGTTCACACGACAAATCCTACTGAATCACCGAATGGACATAATGTCAGGACACCGTTTCACGACTCCCCAAGTCCCTGTGATTCCCCGATGTCATTTATAATAATACCATGAAATGTCTCCACACGTCCGTTTGATTTCCCGGTCTTACATATCGTAATATCGTTAGATGTCTCCACACGCCCTTGTATTCCTCGATCTCACATATCATTTTACCGCTGGATGACTCCACAAGTCCCTGTGATTCGCCGGTGTGATAAAATATCATGATACCATTAGTTCACACGACAAGTCATACCAAATCCCCGATTTGACCTTATATCTGAACAACGTTCCAGGACTCCCCAAGCCCCAGTGACTCCCCGGTGTTACATATCATTATACCGTTAAATGTCTTCACAAGTCCCTGTGATTGCCCTGTCTCACTATACCGTTAAATGTCTTCACAAGTCCCTGTGATTGCCCTGTCTCACATATCAAAATACCTATAAATGTATTCCCAAGTCCGTGTGACTTCCCGGTCTCACATATATTACCGTTAGATGTTTCCCTAACTCCCTGTGGTTCCCCAGTCTCGCATATTAATATACCGCTACATGACTCCACAACTCCCTGTGATTCCCCGGTGTTACATATCATTTTACCGTTAAATGTCTTCACAGGTAACTGTGATTGTCCTGTCTCACTATACCGTTAAATGTCTTCACAAGTCCCTGTGATTGCCCTGTCTCACTATACCGTTAAATGTCTTCACAAGTCCCTGTGATTGCCCTGTCTCACATATCAAAATACCTATAAAAGTATTCCCAAGTCCCTGTGATTTCCCGGTCTCACATATAGATGTTTCCCTAACTCCCTGTGGTTCCCCAGTCTCGCATATTAATATACCGCTACATGACTCCACAACTCCCTGTGATTCGCCGGTGTGACATATCATAATATCGTTTAATATCACCTCAAGCTTCTTTGATTCTTTGGTATCAATCATCAGAATACCGATACATTACTCCACAAGTCGCTATGATTCCTCAGTCTCACATGTCATAATATCGTTACATGTTTCCCCAAGTCCCTGTGATCCCCCAGTGTCACATGTCATGATATAGATGGATGTAATTAAAAGTCCCATTAATTCCCGATGTCACATATCGGAATACCGCTAGATGTCTCCCCAAGTCCCTGTGATTCCCGGGTCTCACATATCATATTATCGTTAGATTTCTCCACACGCCCCTGTGAATCCTCGATCTCACATATTATTATTCCGTTAGAAATCTCCACAAATCCCTGTGGTACCTCAGTCTCACATATAGTAATATCGTTTAATACATCATCAAGTCACTGTAATTATTATATGACATTAGAATACCGATAGATTCCTCAATAAGTCGCTGTTATTCCTCAGTCTCACATATCATAATATATCGTTTCATGTCTCCCCAAGACCCTGTGATTCCCACGGTCTCGCATATCATACCATCATATTTCTCTACAAGTCCCTGTAATTACCCGGTTTCACACATCACAAAACCGGTATATGTCTCCACATGTGTCTGTGAATCCACAGTCCACATATCATAATATCGTTAAATGTCTCCACAAGTCCCTGTGATTCCCCGGTCTCGCATATCGTTATATCGTTAGATGTCTCCGCAAGTCCCTGTGATTCTCCGATGTCAGATATCATAACGTCGCTAGATGACTCCACAGTCCCACTGTCTCCCCCGGTCTCGCATATCGTTATATCGTTAGATGTCTCCGCAAGTCCCTGCAATTCCCAGGTGTCATTTATTATAGTACCATTAGATGTCTCCACACGCGTCTGTGATTCCCCGCTGCATTTATTACAACACCGTTAGATGTCTCCACAAGTCCCTGTGATTCCCCGGTCTCGCATATCGTTATATCGTTAGATGTCTCCGCAAGTCCCTGTGATTTCCCGTTGTCATTTAACATAATACAATTAGATATCTTCACACGTCACTTTGATTTCACGTTCTCACATATCGTGATACCGTTGGTTGTCTCAACACCTCCCTGTGATCCCTCAGTCTCACATTTCATATCATTGTTAAATGTCTCCACAAGTCCCTGTGATCCCTTGATCTCACATATCGTATTTCCGTTAGATGTCTCCACACGTGTCTGTGATTCCCTGGTAACAATATTGTGTAGTAACCGTCAGTGGTGACACTATTGTGTAGTAACCGTCAGCGGTGACACTATTGTGTAGTAGCCGTCAGTGGTGACATTATTGTGTAGTAACCGTCAGCGGTGACACTATTGTGTAATAACCGTCAGTGGTGACACTATTTTCCTCTGTTGAATAAGCCACAGAAAAAAATGTTATATCCTTTAGTTGGATGTTTCCAGGATTCTGATAGAGACTTCCACAATAGATGGGATAATTTTTCATCAAACATTAAATTATATAAAATTTAAAAAGTAGTGCAAACATAAAAAAGACGTTTTTCTGCTAACGTCTGTGAAATGTTTTACTCTGCACTTATTAGATAAAGATATAACTTCCGTCATTTGTCAGCTGTCCATCCTACATCAGGGACGTCTAGTGCTTGCGTCCCAGCCTTCATCAAGCTGTAATTCACCCATAGGTCTGTTTATAATTCCTTCTTATGGCCGTACTAAAAACCGATTTTTATCAAAACAGTTTAGAATTTTGACATAACATTGGATCTTCTTCAAACATTGTAACATGTATCTAGAGTGATTTAAGAGATGATGCTGGTGCCATAAGGGGTGATGTCACTGTTGTGACGAGTGATGTCACTGTTGTGATGGGTGAATTTGGTGCCATAAGGGGTGATGTCACTGTTGTGAGAGGTGATGTTGGTGTCAGGATGTGTGATGTCACTGTTGTGAGGGGTGATGTTGGTGCCATGAGGGGTGATGCCACTGTTGTGAGGGTTGATGTCACTGTTGTGAGGGGTGATGTAGATGCCATGAGGGGTGATGTCACTGTTGTGAGGCGTGATGTGGTGCCATGAGGTGTGATGTCACTGTTGTGAGGAGTGATGTCACTGTTGTGAGGGGTGATGTTGGTGCCAGGAGGGGTGATGTCACTGTTATGAGGCGTGATGTTGGTGCCATGAGGGGTGATGTCACTGTTGTGAGGCGTGATGTTGGTGTCATGAGGGGTGATGTCACTGTTGTGAGGCGTGATGTTGATGCCATGAGGGGTGATGTCACTGTGTGATGGGTGATGTTGGTGCCATTAGGTGCGATGTCACTGCTGTGAGGGGTGATGTTGGTGCCATGAGGTGTGATGTCACTGCTGTGAGGGATGATATTGGTGTCATGAGGTGTAATGTCACTGCTGTGAGGGGTGATGTTGGTGCCATGAGGGGTGATGTCACTGTTGTGAGGGGTGGTATCACAGTAGTTAGGGGAGATGTTGGTGCCATGAGGGGTGATGTCACTGTTGTGAGGCGTGATGTTGGTGTCATGCGTTGTGATGTCACTGTTGTGAGGGGTGTCACTGTTGTGAGGGGTGATGTTGGTGCCAGGAGGGGTGATGTCACTGTTATGAGGCGTGATGTTGGTGCCATGAGGGGTGATGTCACTGTTGTGAGGCGTGATGTTGGTGTCATGAGGGGTGATGTCACTGTTGTGAGGCGTGATGTTGATGCCATGAGGGGTGATGTCACTGTGTGATGGGTGATGTTGGTGCCATTAGGTGCGATGTCACTGCTGTGAGGGGTGATGTTGGTGCCATGAGGTGTGATGTCACTGCTGTGAGGGATGATATTGGTGTCATGAGGTGTAATGTCACTGCTGTGAGGGGTGATGTTGGTGCCATGAGGGGTGATGTCACTGTTGTGAGGGGTGGTATCACTGTTGTTAGGGGTGATGTTGGTGCCATTAGAGGTGATACCACTGTTATGAGGAGTGATGTCACTGTTGTGAGGGGTGATGTTGGTGCCATTAGGGGTGATGCCACTGTTGTAAGGCATGATGTTGGTGCCATGAGGTGTGATCTTACTGTTGTGAGGGATGATGTTGGTGCCATTACAGGTGATGCCACTGTTGTGAGGGGTGATGTCACTGTTGTGAGGAGTGATGTTGGTGCCATTAGGGGTGATGCCACTGTTGTGAGGGGTGATGTTGGTGCCAGGAGGGGTGATGTCACTGTTATGAGGCTTGATGTTGGTGCCATGAGGGGTGATGTCACTGTTGTGAGGCGTGATGTTTGTGTCATGAGGGGTGATGTCACTGTTGTGAGGCGTGATGTTGATGCCATGAGGGGTGATGTCACTGTGTGATGGGTGATGTTGGTGCCATTAGGTGCGATGTCACTGCTGTGAGGGGTGATGTTGGTGCCATGAGGTGTGATGTCACTGCTGTGAGGGATGATGTTGGTGTCATGAGGTGTAATGTCACTGCTGTGAGGGGTGATGTTGGTGCCATGAGGGGTGATGTCACTGTTGTGAGGGGTGGTATCACTGTTGTTAGGGGTGATGTTGGTGCCATTAGAGGTGATACCACTGTTATGAGGAGTGATGTCACTGTTGTGAGGGGTGATGTTGGTGCCATTAGGGGTGATGCCACTGTTGTAAGGCACGATGTTGGTGCCATGAGGTGTGATCTTACTGTTGTGAGGGATGATGTTGGTGCCATTAGAGGTGATGCCACTGTTGTGAGGGGTGATGTCACTGTTGTGAGGAGTGATGTTGGTGCCATTAGGGGTGATGCCACTGTTGTGAGGGGTGATGTTGGTGCCAGGAGGGGTGATGTCACTGTTATGAGGCGTGATGTTGGTGCCATGAGGGTGATGTCACTGTTGTGAGGCGTGATGTTTGTGTCATGAGGGGTGATGTCACTGTTGTGAGGCGTGATGTTGATGCCATGAGGGGTGATGTCACTGTGTGATGGGTGATGTTGGTGCCATTAGGTGCGATGTCACTGCTGTGAGGGGTGATGTTGGTGCCATGTGTGATGTCACTGCTGTGATGTTGGTGTCATGAGGTGTAATGTCACTGTATGATGTTGGTGCCATGAGGGGTGATGTCACTGTTGTGAGGGGTGGTATCGCTGGGGTTAGGGGTGATGTTGGTGCCATTAGAGGTGATACATCTGTGCTGAGGAGTGATGTCACTGTTGTGAGGGGTGATGTTGATTAGGGGTGATGCCACTGTTGTAAGGCATGATGTTGGTGCCATGAGGTGTGATCTTACTGTTGTGAGGGATGATGTTGGTGCCATTAGAGGTGATGCCACTGTTGTGAGGGGTGATGTCACTGTGTGATGCCACTGTTGTGAGGATGTTGGTGCCATTAGAGGTGATGTCACTGCTGTGAGGGATGATGTTGGTGCCATGAGGGGTGATGTCACTGTTGTGAGGGGTGATGTTGGTGCCATTTGGGATTATTTCAACACTGGTACGGATATTCAAGCTGTGCGGAGGGATCCCACTGCTTTGAAAGACCTTTTTTTTTATTACCAAACAGAGTTATAAGAAAGCTTTCATATGTTTTATATTTACAATATCGATTAGGATATTGACTTTCTTGTGTATCAGGAATTAGATGACCTGTGTATAAGATATTGACTGACTGTGTATAAGGATATTGTTTGACCTGTGTATTAGGATGTTGTCTGGCCTGTAATTATTATAATGTTGTCTGACCTGTGTATTAGGATGTGTATGAAAATATATCCTGACATGTATTAGGATGTTGTCTGACCTGTGTATTAGGATGTTGTCTGACCTGTGTATTAGGATGTTGTCTTCCCTGTGTATTAGGATGTTGTCTGACCTGTGTATTATGATGTTGTCTGACCTGTTTATTAGGATATTGATTGACCTGTGTATTAAGATGTTGTCTGACCTGTGTATTTTGATGTTGATTGACCTGTGTATTAGGATATTTTCTGACCTGTGTATTAGGATGTTGTCTGGCCTGTGTATTATAATGTTGTCTGACCTGTGTATTAGGATGTTGTCTGGCCTGCCTATTATGATGTTGTCTGACCTGTGTATTAGGATGTTGTCTGACCTGTGTATTAGGATGTGGTCTGACCTGTGTATTAGGATGTTGTCTGACCTGTGTATAAGGATGCTGTCTGACATGTGTATAAGGATTTAATTAACTTGTATATTAGGATGTTGTCTGACCTGTGTATTAGGATGTTATCTGACCTGTGTTTTAGGATGTTTTCTGACCTGTGTATTAGGATGTTGACTGACCTGTGTATTAGGATTTTGTCTGACCTGTGTATTAGGATGTTGTCTGACCTGTGTATTAGGATGGTATCTGACCTGTGTATTAGGATGTTGATTGACCTGTGTATTAGGATGTTGTCTGACCTGTGTATAAGGATGTTGTTTGACATGTGTATAAGGATGTTAATTAACTTGTATATTAGGATGTTGTCTGACCTGTGTATTAGGATGTTATCTGACCTGTGTATTAGGATTTTGTCTGATCTGTGTATTAGGATGTTGTCTGACCTGTGTATTGTGATGTTGTCTGTATTATGATAGATTGGTTGGATTGGGTGGGGAGGGATACAATAGGAGAGTTCGAGCAAATTCTTGAAAATCCTTCTTCTGTTCCCTGACCTGTTTCCATAATCACGAATTTCATGCAAGAAGTTATCGCGTGACTAGTAACACAAGGGTTCATCAAAGGATGCAGGTTGATGAATATTATCGGGAAGTTTTATGGTCGCCATAGAGATCTCATTGAGAAATATTGTGCGGTATGAATCTGGACGTATTTGATGCTCATTTGTTTGTCTGTTGGTTCCGTTTTTGTATACCTTTTTATCTTTAGATAACACGACATCAGTTACTTGGATTTACCAAGGTTTACAACTTTACATGGCGGGTGTCGTTGATAAAGCAGAAAGACGCTTACTCTTCCGGAACACCTGGTCTTATTCTCCTTGTACTTTTTCAAGTCTCCGTGTAAATCGTTCTTTTGTTCATATTTTGCTTTAGTTTTATGAAATTTGAGTTTGAATTATGATTATGTTGCCATGTTGGGATTTTCGCGATGCTTTTAGTTTATCTGAGTTACGTTATTACGTTGTTACGTTACTGAATTATTGTGTTTCGCTGAACAATCTTTAAAATAACAGGTGGTAGACACTGCTGATCCCTGAGGTTTGCCTTAACCTGTTTGTCATTCATTTGAAAAGCGGCACAGTTCAGAAATACACATGCTCTTGCCTGTTCTAAAATCACAGGATCAATGAAAAATATGAAATTACTGTAGTATTCAATTATGGGCTGCATCATCACCCAGTCTTAATTTAGACTTTTCCATTGATCACTTTCGAGTTTCCTTAGTCGCCTCCTCGGCTTTTATATTTAGTCCCTTTTCATCACTTTCGAGTCTTAGAAGGACGAAACAGCTGCATGATACAATTATCTTCATTGTTTACCTCTACAAGTATCTAACTCTAAACTATATTTGGAAAAAAAATGTGCTTTTCACTTGTCTGTCTTTTGTATACTCTTTAGTCCGAAGCATCCTTGGGTGAAGAAGAATCAATTTGTATAAATGGTGGGTCTTGGGCGTGAGGGGCACGGTAAAAAGTGGTTTCCCCGTATAAACTACTGTTTTTTTCCGAAAAATAATTTTACACCTTTCCAACACCCAGATTTCATAATTTCAGTGAAAATGTATTTTTATAAAGTTGTCAATTTCAGCATCAAAGACATAAGTTCGTAAATAAAAGAAGGTTATCTCGAAATTGTAATTAGCAACATAGTATAAATTTCTTTTTGATAAATATTTCCAAAACATCGTGTTTATTCATAAAACATAAAAAAAAAATTCTCGGATGAAAATGCACTTGCAGAGACACAATTATGAAGAAAAATGCCATAAATTTGCAATTTTCTCCCGTTATATAGTTTTGGATGCAAATTTCCATCAGAAAATCGGATAGAGCTTTACTTGTTTCATATGTGTACCAAACATCAGCTAATACCATGTGGTGGAACGTTCTCATATCGCCGCCTGAATGTGGTTGTAAATTGAAAGAAAATGGGAAATGAGTAACAACCTTGTCTGAAACCCTATTATATAGCTTATTATATACAAACTTTTATATTGAATATCAGAGCGGATATTTTCATGACAGTTTTATGATGTGTAAAAATTAAAAAAAAAAGTACTGTTTCCCCCGTCTCGATCTTGATTACTTGAGAACCATTACGTGTGGAACGTATCAGATATCTCTGGCTCCTGGTTACATCGCCGAACATTTAAGTGATGACGGCGACTATGAGGTGTGGCTTTACCAGCACTCCCCAGACCTTCTCAGATGTCAGATACATTCTCGACACAAAAGCCAAACGAAATATAACGTTTGGATACTGTTCACCGTTTCACCCGATGTTGAGGCCCCAATAAAGGACTACTACTGCCAGTGCCCAGTTGGAGAGAGAACGATGGGAATGTGTGCGCACATCTCAAGTATCTTGTACTACCTTGGGTATTACAGGACGCTGGAAAACCCTCGACCATTACAACCACAGGTAAAGAAATTCCGACAAAACTTGAAATAGTTTTCGATGCGGCAACAGAGTGCATATGTCGAAAGTATGTTTGGGGCTCGATATGAAAGATCCCCGTTACCATGTGTCTAACCAAACTTATAAATGTAGGTATTATACAATCGCTCGTAGCTTTGAACACTCCCGTAAATGCGAAAACCAACCAAAAAAGCATAAGGAACACGTTTTTTGTTGTTCTGTCTATTTGTCAGCCAATGTCTTCAACCACTGGGACTTGCGAAGTAGCCATCTTGGATTTTTTTTATGAAAAAGTGTTTCTCTCACTTTTGTTCATATCTGGTGTACATATTCTCAACATACCGAGCAAATACTCTCGTGTTTTTGTTAATTATCTAAAGAAAGTCGAAAATCGGCAATTCAACCATAGGCTAATTCAACCCAACATTTGAAAATTTTGATGATTTTTCCTCTCATCAATAGCATATTACGTACTATTTAATAGGATAAAAATTGGTTTGCATCCAACGCCCATAGAAGGGTGTATTATCTAAAAAACACAAGTTTTTGTGTCTAAAATGTTATCATCGAAAATGGCATTTTTGAGATTGTTTCTTCCATAAAACAGCCAAATGGGGCGATGGAAACATGATTTTTTGTCACAATCATGCCATGAATGTATTCTTTACGGTGACTATCATTTGATTAGATTTTCATTAATATTTTACATAACATGCACATTTTATCAACACTTAGACAGCTTCTGAAAGGTACAACTTTGAGGAGCCATAAAAAACAAACAGAGTGAATCAAATCTTTATACTTTATAGATTTGTGACCACAACGGCATGGGCAATGCACTACCAACAGGAAATTTGAATAAGAGAAGGGGCCGTTTTGGAAACCGGCCCTTTGTTATTTACTTTTATTACTTAAGAAAACGAACCTCCCTCTAATTGCAGATACAACAAAACCATTAGTCAATAATCAAACTAGACCAGAGATAAAAAAAGCTCTAGAAAAGGCCAAAGAATCCATTCGAAGGAAGGGTATTGTCATCATTAATGGCGCCACAGGGGACGAGAAGACATCAATGTGCTACCAACTGTTGAGGTGGCTGATGGACGATGATACTGGACATTCAAAAGATCCTTTACAGCTTTACAGCATGAACAAATGGGATAGCATGGTTGAGCCAAATGCACGGTTATCTGTATTTGTTGATGATGTTAGTGGAGAATTTTTTGAAGAAATGAAGAAAAGAGAAGACTAGATACAATCTGCATTTTGTGGTTAACTAAAAAGAAAATCAAATAATTTGATTTTAAATGGCCGAAATGAAAGTATCTCAAAGTCTTCCTGTATATTATTCAGTGCAGAAGATACCATAGACTTGCGAGGTAAACATTGCATGACGAGCAAGGAAAAAGAATTGATGTTAGAAAAGTATGTCCCAGACATTAAAACATTAGCTGGTGGAAGGGTATCTGAAATAGTCAAACATGCGCCTAATATAGGATTTCCGTCAGAGAATTGATCAAAAAGAAAACTGAAAAATCTCCACTGACTTCATAGGTACATTAGATTTATGAACAGATAAGAAGTTACTGGAGGCACTTATCATTTGGTTGAATTGTCAGAATGTCGATAAAACTTATGTCTCGATATTAAACAGCGACTGTTGAATGTTTGTCTGGTGCAGGTTCAAGAATATGTGTCCTTAGTGTCTGAGGTCGGTGTGAAGCCTGATGATATTACGCTCTTTGGAGTGGTAAAGACAGGAAACTATGGATTATTACGCAGAGTGGAGAGCTTGGACCTTACCTCCTTGTGTCAGGTTGACCCCAACGAACACAAGATTGAGACAGTAGATGATATGAAGGTACACAAGAGTTGGGTGTTTGCTCCGTACATATCTCAGTCAGTGAATGAAAAAGGGGTAACAATACTACACGTGAGCTGTGCGAATGGACACATTGAGATATGTA